GATTGATTCTGTTCTGTTCGTTTTTGGACCCTATCGAATTTGTTTTTTTGGTAAGAGAGAGTTTTTAATTTCCTTAATTAGTAAGCTTTTTTGGTATCTCTTCAATTTTAATTTCCTTTTTAATCTTAATCGTTTCCTTCACGTTTCCTTAATTTTGTCATCTTTGTCTCCTTAATTTCGTTCGTATTTAGGTTATAGTAATTAAGATCTCTGGTTATTTCCGGTTTAAATTGGTTATTGTACTTGGTTTAATGTTTTTGGTTGTTTTTGTAGGAAGCCATGTTCAAACTACAAGATGAAGGAGATCACAGGGAGTGGGATTTTCTCTGTTTATGAAGAAAACGATGATTCCGACATAGGAAGTACTAATCCGACAACAAACGGCAAAACAAGAACATTCCAGGTTTGTGTTTTATGTTCTGTCTATGCTTCTTGTAGAGATTAGTCTTGATCACTATTTGTGTATGTGTTTGGATTTGTTTCAGCAACCACCAGCTGCAATACTGAGTCACATTTCATTCGGAGAACAAGAGATTGTTACACCGAAGAAGCCAGTGACAGTACCTGAAGTAGCGAAGCAACGTGAGCTTAGTGGTACATTGGAGTATCAATCTGATGCTAAGCTTAATAAGCAATTCTCAGATGCTAAGTGTAAAGAACTAAGTGGTCATAACATCTTTGCTCCACCACCTGAGATCAAAGCTCGTCCTACTGTTCGTGCTTTAGCTTATAAAGACAACTTCGACTTAGGAGAATCCGATACTAAACACGTAACGCTCTCTAATGCTTATACTAGTTCGTTTTACTTAGATTGTTACACCAAACCTTATACTTGAATTACCCGAATTCTCGCAGGACGCGGAATTGAAGACGGCGAAGAAGATCCCGGATAGGAAATTCACCGATTTGTCGGGAAATAATGTATTCAAAGGGGATGTAACATCTCCTAATGCAGCCACGGCTGAGAAGTTTCTAAGCACAGCGAAGTTGAAGGAGATAAGTGGCAATGACATATTTGCTGATGCAAAAGCTCAGTCTCGTGACTACTTTGGAGGTGTTCGTAAACCACCAGGTGGAGAAAGCAGCATTGCCTTGGTCTAAACCCAAACCTACCAAGAATAATTATAAATTCTCTATAAACTTAGAAGGTTCTAACTATTTATCATCATCATTAATAGATAATGTACTACTTTTGGGATGTTTTTATTTTCAATGTTTTCCGGATTTGTGTGCTTGGATCGTTATTGAAATGATTGATTTAGGCAAAATCGATCGGACTTTCGCAGAGTTTGTTACCTGGAAAGCTGAATCTGGTCTCTTAGGACTTTGTGGAGTTGATTTGTTTTTGTCTGTCTCTTGTATTTGTTGCCAACTATTTGTTGGGTACTTGATTGATTTTATTGATTATTTTGGGGCTAATCTGTTATATAAGGAAAAGATTGTGGACCATTTATGCAAAAGTAGTCTTGCATGTTTGGTGCAGTGGGTAGCATAGTACATAAGAAGGTGTTTGCTTGTTTGGGATATAGAATAGAACGTTGGCCCTGGTCTCACCCAAATGAGAAATCTACATTAAATATGATAAATTTTTTTATAAATGCCTTGCTATATCAATTCTGTATTTTTTTGAAATTTTTTAAAATGGTAAGTACAAAGAATTTGGCTAAACTACTAAATTTGACTGATTTTTTAGTGACTTTGGTTGAATTTAACTAAATTATTACATGGATTGAATCAAACGCTTTTTTTGTGGTTGTAATTTTTATCAGAATCTAACAAAATGATTATAAGTTTAACAAAAAAATATCGTCAATAATTAGATATGATAATAATAGGATAAGTAAAATTTATTTAAATAAAATTATCTAATCGTGTAATTAGCGTGTTCAAAAGTTCATATATTCTCTCTCTCGTTATTCGAAGCTTTCACGTGAGGATTATGTGCATCTTAGATATCCTTAAGCATTTCGCGAATCTCTTCAAGACACTGTTAGTCTAATTTCATGCATACACAAACACGTATAAAATAAAAAACTAGTGTTCTTTCCAAGAGATGATATTATTATCTTTAACAAAAAAAAAAGAGATGATATTATTAAGAATGACATATATTTGGATTTACAAATATATACTTACCCGAAAGCAGTGATACGATTTGTAATCTCATTGATATTTAGTGAAATATGACCAAATGTGTTTATTGTAATTTCACTCATCTCACTAAACATCTAAGGAATAAAAAAAAAAATTGTCTGTTTAAGGAATAAACCTACTATTGTGCTCTATCTAAGTAATTTTTTCTTTATTTTTTCCTAACGATTAAAAGAAAATAATTATTTATTTATAAGTGTATAAATTCTAAAACATCAATAGATAAGGAAGATAGTAAATATTTGTTTTTTTATCATCGTATTAAAACATAAAGGTTCAGTACAAAATAACCAAGAACAAATGTCAACCCGTAAAGCAACCAAACCAATAACTTATTTTATAAAAAATTGTTTATTTTCTTAATAATTAATATGATTGATTATAGAGTAATTCTCAACAATAACACTTATTTAAGTTTTTCTTCTAAACTTAGAACACTCTCCTATTTTCCAAAATTAGCACTATATATCAAAATTAAATCCTAAGTTTTAAAAGGTAAACTCTGTCCCCTAAAAACTATATCGTAAAATGTAAAATAGTCAACTCAAACCTTAAAAAAATTCTAATTATTATTTAAAATAATATAATTGTGTCAGTTAGTGTTATTTTTGAAAATTTTGTGGAATGTGTGTTATATTTGTCCATAAAACCATAATTTTTTTTATCTAACATTTATATGTCATCTGTTTTTAACTTTTACAATATGATATAATGATTCAACACGGTAATAAATGATTTATCAGAATAATTTCAAACTTACCATATAACTTATAATTTTATCGCGATACAATATCATTTATACTGTTAATAAATTATTTATCATATTAAGTTTAACACTAAAAATTATTTAGCATGTTAAGTTTATAAAGTAGTGGTTAGAGTTTAGACTTTGTAACTAAACGAAGTTATATTTTGGTTTGGGTTGAAAAAATATTGGTTAGGGTTTAGATTTTATAATTAAATGAAAATTTCGGTTTGGGTTGACAAAATAGTGGTTTGGGTTGATAAATTTCCGCGATAACTGATTATTAACATGTTTAAAATTTTGGTTTGGGTTTGGGTTTACATGATAACAGATTATTAACATGTAATTAAACGAAATATAATTTTGGTTGACTAAGTTTAGGGTTTAGATTTTGTAATTAACAGTTTGGGTAAAATTAGAGGTTTGGGTTGACAAATTATCGTGGTAACGGATTATTTAACATGTTCAAAAATAAGTTATCGAATGCTATTAATCACGGATGAAAAGTGTTATCGAATTCTATCAATCACAAATGAACAGTTTTAGTATTAATTTAACTGATAATATGTAAATTATCGCGATAACAAATTATTTAACATGTTTAAAAATAAGTTATCGAATGTTATGAATAGTGTTACATATCATACTCTATTTTGTTTGTTTTGGCTAAATCAAATCAGGGTCAGAAATGTAATTTTACGTTACTGTTGGTGAAAAAACTAATTTTTGGATTATTACATCCTTACTTTTTGTTTTCAGTTTATTTAGGTACTAATTTTTAACTCTCCCTAAAATATATTTTGCTGTAAAAAAAATATATTTTGTTGCTATTTATATGTATTTCTCTTGATTAAAAACTAAACTAAATAAAATTAACATATATTTATAGAAAAACAATCGTTATTCAAACCGCATTATTAACTTGGTATTCCTCAAGTTATCTCTTTACAATAATAATCAGATTTATTTCATGTTACACCGATGTAAGAAATATAAAAACAAGAAGCGAAAACACATTAATGACCAATAAATAAAAAAGGGACAAATCAGTAATTTCGGAAATATTTCCTCGGCAGCAGGCTGCAAAAAGCAGTAGTGAAGCTCTGTTGCCACATTAATGGCGAAATGTGACTGAAATAACAAAAAACGACAAAAGAGACAAACACAGGCTCTCTCCGTACATACATACACTCACACCTCACAACATTCTCTCTCTCCCGCACAAACCTCTCTCTCCGTATTGTTTTTTTGGCTTTACTCTCTCTTCTCTCTCCTCTTCTTCTTCTTCTTCTACGCTTTACTCTGTTTTTGAATCTTCATGTTTGGAGACAGATTCATGGGTATTGGAGATTTCAACATGGGAAGAGCTTCAGATCATCGTCTTCGTCTTCCTGATTTTGGTTCTGATGGGTTTTTACAGAGTCTAGAAACGAACCCGTTTCTGAAGAATCAGTGTTACAACAAGAGTGGTGAAGCTCTGGATTTGTGTAGAAAGCTTAACAAAATGGGTATCTCTTGTGATATGAGTATTTGGAGCAGACCTGAAGAACCGTTCCGGGTCGACCCGGGTGATGTTGGCTCGAGAAGGTCTTCCGGGTTTGAGCAGAGTCTTAGTGGAGCTTCCTCTGTTTTCCAAAACGAAAGCTTTCATGGAGTTTCTTCTCAATCTCAGAGATTGCTTGGGTTTCAAGATTCCTTTAACCCTAACGGATTTGGAGAGATGTTGCGTTTTAAGAATCATACTAAGCGTAGAAGCGACTCTTTTGGCAACGATGCGTTGATGTTTGAAGGAAACAGAGTTTTTCAACCTCCATCCGCCATGGAAGTGTACGGAAAGCTTCGACCTTTTTATACAAATGAGAGTCTGATTGCGTTTAAGGGTTCGTTGATGGATGAAGGAAATAGGGTTTCTCAAAACCTAGCCGCCATGGAAGGTTTTGGAGCTTCTTATCCAGACGAGAGGATGACTCTGATGAGAAGGTATCTAAAGCAAGATGAGCCTAAGATCAATCTCGTCTCCATGGTTAACATTTACGGATCTGTGAACTTAATGGCCAAGGATCAGATTGGTTGTAGAGTTTTGCAGAAACTGGTTCAACAAGGAACGTTTCTTGAAGCTAAGGTTATACTTCATGAAATCCTTAACAATGTTTTTGAACTCTCCATGGATCCTTTTGGGAATTATATTGTCCAGAAGCTATTGGAAGTGTTTGATGAGGAACAAAGAACAGTGATTGTGAGTGTGTTAGCCTCAAGACCAAGGGAGCTTATTAGAATCTGTCTAAACACTTCTGGGTAAGCTTCTCTTCTTCTTGTTATATATCAAGTTTAGATTTTTTTTGGCTACTAATCTGGTGTTGGAAACAGAGCTTGAATCATGTTATTTGCTGAAACAAAACCATTAGTAAAGTCAAAAACTTTTGTGGATTAAGATGGAATCTTTCTTGGTTTTCTGAGGAAGATGAAATGTTTACTGTTTATGGAAATATATGAAATATCAATAAGAGAATGAAATTGATATTTTTACTTTTTGCTGTTTTTGGACAAACCAAATTTGCAAACTTTAGGAAGCTACAAGAAATAAAGCTGAGACCTTTACTGGTTTTTGAATTCTGATTTGTGGCTAATGTGTGTATATGAATTAAAACAGGACAAGGGTTGTGCAGAAGATGATTGCAACCGTGAAAACAAGACAGCAGATTGCATTGGTGAAATCAGGTCTCAGACCGGGCTTTCTTGATCTTGTTAAAGATCTGAATGGGAACCATGTGATACAGAGTTGCTTGGAGTTCCTTGGACCTAATGACAATAAGGTTTAGTTCAATCGCCATCTTTGTTTCCTACTTAAGCTTTAATGAATGATGTGAACTTTGGTGCCAGTTTTTGTATTAGAAGCTGCTACTAACTATGCTGATATTGCTGTCACACTTATTAATCTCCTTATCTTGTTTCTTACTTAATCCCTGATGAATGTTGTGAAATCTTGTGTTAGTTTGTGTTTGAAGCAGCTTCAAAGTACTGTGCTGAGATAGCAATTCATCGTCATGGATGCTGTGTCCTTCAATGCTGCCTTATAAACTCTGTTGGACCGCAACGTGAGAGACTCGTCGCTGAGATATCAAGAAACGCACTTCACCTTTCACAGGATCAATTCGGGTTAAATTCGAATCTAGACTGTATGCTCAAAAGAGTTTCTTTATGTTATATTTGTATAGTTTGACAAACTCTCTTTATGGTTTGTGGAAATGGACAGGAACTATGTGGTGCAGTGCTTAATAGAACAAGAAGTTTCTGCGGTGAAGTTGCTGGTTCAGTTTAGACTGCATTACGCCGAGCTAGCAACTCAGAAGTTTGGTAGCCATGTGATTGAGAAGTGTCTAAGTAAGTATCCAGAGAGCCGAGCTGAGATCGTTCGTGAGCTCCTCTCTGTTCCAAACTTTGAGTATCTTCTGCAGGATCCTTATGCTAATTATGTGATCCAAACAGCTCTCTCTGTAACTAAGGTCAGTCCAAACTCATACTGTATTGTTATACAACCAAAAGCAAAGCTTCCAAAAACAGAACTTGACCAAGAGTTTTGGGGTTGGTTGAAACAGGGAGCTGTTAGAGCTAGATTGGTGGAGAAGGTTGATAAGTTTGGGAAACTACAGTTGAATCCTTATTGCAAGAAGATATTCTCCAAGAACATCTTGAAGATGTGACTTTGATTAGTTCCAAAAAAATTGTTGTTTTTCTCTATTTCAAGATAGGATAAGGATTTAGAAAGAGACATGGCCTTAATGTTTTTGTAGTGACTAAGAACTTTTGTCAAACATGTAATTTTTAGCCAAAGAAAAAATTGTTTCATTTTAACTGATGTTTTCAATTTTTTATATGCAAAAATTAAAAATTTGAATACTTTTTGACCAATCATATATTACATGATGTAATTTACATAATATTTTCATATTGGTTGATTTCATTTTAATTAATGATATTTTATTGGAATTAGAAAAATTATATGTTTTATTAATTTGTGTGTAAAAATCGTCTCTCAAATAACACAATCAAAGTTTTGGTTTGGCAAAATTAATATTTGAAACTCATACCAAATAGATGAGTAAAGAAATTCAGTGTTTCCGACTTAACTCATTTAGATGTGGATGATCAATATGATTTAAGATCAAAGTCAAAGAAATGAGAGAACGTTAGTAGTTAGAACTTACAAGCATTAAGAGATCGATAACGAGTTGAATTGCAAATACAAAAAAGTTAAAAATAGTTTTAATGATATATACAAAAACTGAGTATAAATATCATCATGGGCGGACCTATGTACATGAAAGGGAGGTCAATTGACCTGCCCAAATTTCAAAAATTTCTTCTTTGTTATATGAAAAAGTTATTTAATCCATCAAAAATACCAAAAATTACTTATGTTTGACCTGGGTAGAATTATATCCTAGGTCCGCTACTGAATATCATCGATTTATGACTAAAAATGACGAGAATTTATAGAGAAGTCATTATTACAAAGAAAACCAAAAATTATAAATTTTTGAACTTTCAAAATCAGTAGTATCTTTACTTTATTTCTCGTTCCTAGACTCATTATTACTTTCAGATTTTCTATTCAAGCAAATATTTTTCTTCAATAAAAAGATACATCGGAAAAGATCTTTTAACTTTTTAATCAAATATCTTTATACTTATATTTTTCTCTCTTTTTCGATTCAATTGGGTGTTAAGAAAAAACTCTTTTTCATAATCAAAATTATACATTACAAAACAAATAAAGAATATAAAAATGTGATATATTAAATAAAAATAAAATTAATTATTGATATGATTGATAAAAAAATACAGTGTGATTAAAACAAAATATTGATGTAAGTAAATACATATATCAGTTTTTGTCATTCCTTGTGGATTGCAAGTGAAGTCATTATTTTAGATTTCTTTTGGACTTCCACATAAAAAAACTTTCCCTTATTGAATAGTTGCATATATCGAGGAATGGCTACCGTATCTAAGGCCCTAATCATTTTGTTTACCAAATCTTTCTCTGCCCAAGGTCGGCGTATCCTATTACGTCAGGGTTTTTGTAGAGAATCTATATATTGCAATTTTTAAAAATAAACCAAAATAGAGACAGCTTGGTAATATTGTGGGATGCTAGGTGAGAGAACTAATTTTACAGTTATGACTTTTTGCTTTTTGTTTCCTGTTCAACTAGGACTACAAATTTAACTCACCCTTTTTATAATCAAAATTATTTATGTGATTGATAAAAATAAAAATACAAATGTGATTAAAGAACATAGATGTAAGTATGTAACTAATTACATATTTCAATTTTCGTCATTCCTTGTGGACATAAAGTGAAGTCATTATTTTAGACTTCCACATAAAAAATATTTCCCAAGCCATAACTAACCCGTAGTAAACTCCCCATAGTTCATCCAAAGGAACTGAACAAATCCCGATAGTGAGAGAGAAACCATATTTTCAATCCCCGGTTTCATCTCGTAGCACACCACCTGCAGTTGCCAACCCCGGGTTCCCACGAGAAAACCAAAAGTTAAAGAGCTTTTTAACTTCCAACTGATGAAGCATTATATTTACTCTATTTCTCTTTCCTAACCTAGACTTATCGTTACTTTCATATTTTCTATACAGACGAGTATTTTTCTTTAAATACAAGATTTATCGGGAAAGATCATTCAACTTTTTAATCAAATATATTTTTCTTTACACAAAATAAAAAAAAAAATATATAACAATGTGTTTCAAAAAAATATTATTTATAATTTAATATAAAGAAATAAAAATAAACGAGTAAATGATCGAAAAAATGGAGAAAAGGAAATAGTTGAAATACAATGTGAGCAAAAGAAAAAAAAAATATTGGTTTATATGATTGGTTTCTCATTAAGAACGTTTATTTTAGTATCCCGATTCTTGTATACGTGCTATAGACTATGGTTTATATACAACTTATAGACAAATATACAAAGAATAAACCAAGTGGTCTTGGTCTAGTGGTTTTCACTTGAGTGAGGAGTTGCCCTGTTGGTGTAGGCCAGGGATCGATTCCCTTCAAACGTGAAATCATTAGATATTTACATTTGGCCAGGGGCTTTCACTCGGTATTCCCCGGACTCTAGGAAGATTACGGCCTAACTAAGACCCGAACCTCCTGGTAATCAAAATATATATATATATATATACAAAGAATATTAATAAAGCCAGATAAATATAAAATAGTTTTAAACAAAAAAATTGATAATTAATTTGATAGATGAAACTAGGTCGAGATAGCGATTCAGAAGTCTAATTTGTTGATTTGTGGAGACAAATCTGAAAATAAAAGCTATATAGAATGGAACATATGCTTTATTCTGTGGAACTATACGTAGTATAGAATGGAACGTGTCATTTTATTCTATGGAAGCGTAAATGTTTGTAAACGTTTTATTCAAGATATTTGAGTAATTTAAGTCCATGTTTACAGCTTTGTTAAGACTTGTAGTATCTTCTTTTATCATGTTTTATCGGTATTTTTATTGTATTTTATTGCATTTAGTGTTTAAGTGAGCCTTCTTGCATCTTAGGAGTCATATAATGTTTTTGTTTGAGTTTTGGTTTGTTTTATATGTCTTTTAAGCTATTTCAGGTTAAAATAGTGAACGCCACATATTTGGATGCAAAGAAAAAAATTGATTATTTAGATCTAGTCTAGAATGCATCAAAGATCGATTCAGATAAAGTTTTTTAACTTATGATTTAGCTTTGAAGCTCTTCATAAAAGTTATAGAAAATTGAATCAGATTTTCAACGGTGGAGGTTTTCAGGCCAATCAGATATGTATTCTTAAAGTTATGCTTGATTTAGTGAACGCATATACATCTAGGTTGAAGATTGGAGTCACCGGACATTTCAATCGACCTTGAGGTCGATTGGCAAGTCGATTGGACGCAAAACGGGCTCTCGGACAAGTGTCAACCGACCACCCAATTGGTCGATTGGTTTGGAGAAGTGGCAGGCCAACTGGTCAGTTAGGATGTCGGTTGAATGTTGAAATTGTGAAAAATGTAGTTTATCTCAGTGTACTTTGGTTTATCTCGGCCTTAATTTGGTTTGTTCTGGTTTAGTTTCTCTATCTCTATAAGTACTGTAATCCCACTTTGGGAAGGGGGATGCTATGTTTTATGTTTGTTTGAATTTATTTTCTATCTTTGAAATTCTTGTATAAATCTTAAGTACTTTTATACAGCTTAATCTTGTTCTTTTTTAGATTTATTTTCTAATTTCCTCTAATCATGTTTCTTCATCAAATATCAATTTTATTGTGAATTCATGATCATGAGTGAGTAGTCTTATAATTTTTTTTGGGTTTCACTAGATTATGATGAATTAGGAGCTCGGTTATGGAGTTTAGGGACATATTGCTTAGGATTCTTACTTATTGGTGGTGGCTAATAAGACTAAATCAATCTTGATTATATTAATTTACAATTTAGGAATTTCATGCTTGGAAAATGTTCATTATACATTATTAAAGACATAGAGCGGCAGAGAGAAAGATTAAGAGAATTTGTAACTTCTGATTTTTTTTTTTGCAAAGGCAAAAAGTGGATGTGGTTCTTACGTTGAGGTTGAACAACTATAAACCTTGTGTAAAATTATTACAGCAGAGTCCCCCACTTGGCTCGTTTGACAAAAATAGAGTTCTTTGTATTGTTGACAAAAATAAATTGATAATTAGGAGAAAACCAAAAATTGTTTCTCTATTTTTTTACTTCCTATTTTTTTTTTTTTGGTAAGATTTTTTACTTCCTATTTGATGTTATCTTTACTTTTTTTCCTAAACTCAGATTTGTTATGCAAAAAAATCTTCTTCTTTAAATACGAAACTTATTCGAAAAGATTGTTCAGCTTTTCCATCAAAATCATCGTCATAAATTAGAACTATACAAAACAAATAAAAAATTATTTAATTAATATACTAAAGAAAAGAGTAAATGATTGATAAGATGGCTAAAAAAAGTTAAATAAAAATTACAATGATTTGATGGTTCAGGCCGAAAAGATTGTTCAGCTTTTCCATAAATCATCGTCATAAGTTAGAACTATACAAAAAAAATATATATAATTAATTAATATTAGAAAAGTAGTAAATTATTGATAAGATAGCTAAAAAATAAATTAAATGAAAATTACAATGTGAACAAAGTAAAAGAAAAAAAAAGAGACGACTTAAACAATTGGGTTAATGTGATTGGTTTCTCGGTTCTCTTTAACTGGGTTAATGTTGGTTTAGATCTAGATTTGGTTAAGATATAAAGAGACAAATAGGACCAAGATAAACGACTTTAGTTTGATCACTTATAAAAAAAATATAAAAACTTGCTACAATGAGTAAGAACATTGATTCGTAGTGTATTGGGGATGCACTTTAGGGGTGTTATTGAATTGTCGATTTTAAAAGAATTGGATGTATTATAAAATCAGGTGTTATTCAATTGTATATTTTTAAAAATACCTTAAAATCAGGTGTTATTTAGTTTCTATTGGATTTTGATGGATTTCATTTCAAGTGGATTCTAATGTACCTTTTTAACTAAAGCATGAGTAACTAAAATCCGAGAGTTTTGATAAGTATGTATTATATATAAAATAATAAATAAATGAAAAAGCATTTTCTCCACCGTTATCATCACTTTCACTGAAACCTTCAACCACTTCTCCAAGGCTCAAACGAGAGAGTTAAGAGATCGCAAACCCTCCA